TTTATTAAAACACTACAAACATATATACAAACTTTGAACTTTAAATAATTCTGGCATTGTTTGAACTTAACATAAATTTAATTAAAAACGATTAATTTACATTCTGCGCCAATTCAAAAAGGCGCTATTGCCACGAGCTTCTTATACATTTAGACTGTGGAGCTGCGTTTGTGCTTCCCAGGGAATGCGTCCTTACTCCTATCAGGCACCACACGGCTGTTCAATATGTCTTGCTCTGAATCCGTTTTGATCTTATCACCATGGCACGGCCCTAAATCGGCTAAATGAGGTCAACTTTTGCTTTGGCCGCTCTGGTGTTTGCTCCCACTCGCTGTAGTGTTGTTGTCGTATTCGGTGCCAGTGCTGTAATCCGTTTCAATTTCACGTAATTCAATTTTCTGCTCACGCATGGCACGCTGTTGGGGTATATCATGCTATCAATGAGTAATACAAGGGTCTATTTGCAATGAACCACCCACCTTTACGCATTCCTGATAAACCTTGAAAATGGGCGCACATACGGAATCATCGGTTTCTCCTTTAAGGAAGCGTTCGGAAAACCAGTTATTGAAGCACGCATCGTATTGCTTTTTCAGCTCATTGCAGTCGTCGCCTATGCTGTTCATTCTGCAGAGTGATTAATTTTTTATTGATAAATTTCACTTGTTAAATAATAATGCCAATAAAACGTGCGACTGCTGCAGAAAGGTTGCCGATAACTTATCGATAATTATGAGGCCGATAGTTCCGCATCAGAAATTTTACCTTTGATAACGACTGGTACGGTGACCACCTTTCAAAAGATTCATTTTGCCAGCAGGAACCTTTTATAATATGCCTTCATCGGTGCCGTTATTTCAATTGAAATAAACTATCAAATTCTTTGCTCATGTTAACAGTTTTAACATCGTACTAAAAATGAAATGACTTATTTGTTTTTCTTGTTTTGTGTGTGTGTTTTTTTTCTGTTTCTTTTGAGTTTCCTCTACTGTTTATTTTAATCAAAGACTTGCGCACTTTAGATTTTAGTTCATACAAAATGCATTTATCAATTAGTTTTTAAGCATAATGAGCGTTAAAACAAATTCACAGTACAGCGTAATGAATAAGGATAAAATGGGTAAAATGAAAGGCTGAATGATGATGAATGTAGACCTCCGATTCAGGGGTTGACTGAATCGGAGGTCTGGCCACAGTCGGTATCAGCAGCTGTTCCTCTTCCATAGATCCATTTCCTTAGTCGCAGTGTATTATTCATGTATTTGTTTAAAGGCTTCTACTATGTGACAGTGTCTACTCTTCCTCAATGGTTTGCACTTGTTGTTGTTGCTGCTGCTGCTGGTTCTTGTGGTGTCCACGTTGGTTGCGGTTGCGCTGATTGCGATTGTCGCGACGCTGGCCGCCCCAATTGCCGCCTTGATTGTTCTGGTTGCGATTGTAGCCGCGGTCACGGTTACCCATGTTGCCGCGCTGGAAGAAGTTGCCCTGCTTCATGTCGAACACCTTCTCATTGACGTCCACCAGGTTGGTCACCTTGTCAACGAACTGCATGGCCAGGGCCTGAAGGCGCGACGGCTCCGATCGATGCATGACCACCGTTTCGCTGGGATCGTCCAGGCTGGCCATCAGCTCCTCGTTGATAATCATCTTGCTGATAATCGAATGCACCTTCGGCAGCGGTAGCTCATACATTTGCGAAAGCGATGGTATGCTAATCGAAGTGTACACGTTCGAGTAGGTGAATAGATATGTGCGCAGCGACTCCTCCTTGATGAACTTGACAAGCATTTCGCGCACACGCTCCGACTCGTAGAACAGATCCCACACCTTTGTGTTCATCTTCTTGTTCACTATGAAATTGGCACACGCCTGCCAGTTGCCGCAGCGCATTGCCTTGGCGGCTGCCACAACGTGCTCGCGCATCGATTCGGGGGGACCCACCAGGGACTGACGTTCTGAGGAGCGCAGCTGCTGGTAGAACGTTTTGCTGATCATACGACGGCGTGCATCGAACTCATGTGCGGCTATGTAGGGTATCTCAAGGAGCATTGCCGAGACCAGATAAACGCATTCCAGCAGTTCGAGATTGATGTGCATGTGGAATGGCATTTGGCGCTGCTTTTCGATCTTCTCCTGCTCAGCGGAGCGTTCGTGCTGACGCTGAGGCAACAGTCCCTGAGCAAGCAACTCCTTTGGCTTGCCGGTGACCATCAGATCGACCAGACAATGATGGGCATCCTTTATGTTCTCCTGACGGAAAGCGCACAGACCCAGATTGGCCATCATGCGATTGTATAAAATACGCGTCGAGGGATCTGCCGCATCGATGTTGTCTTGCAAATGCGACATCAAAACCAAATCGCGCGCCTGGAACCAGTTGTCGTGCATCGCATGATGATAGATGTGCGCCAGTATTGCGCGCGTCCTAATGCGATCTGTGTCGTCCTTGGCGTAGATAAACTTGCAAAGCTTGTCCATCACCTCAACGGAAGACGGAGCTGTGCCCGCAGCTGGCAGTTCACCCCGCTTGCGCTTGAGCACCTCGGGATCGAACTTGTAATAGAGATGCTCGATCTTTCGCAGGTAAATGCGACAACGCTCGTTGTTGCTGCCGCAGCGCTCGAAGTATTGGACAACCAGTTCAATGGTTTTTACCACATTGATCTCGTCCTTCAGCCGCGAAACGTAGTCATTCGAGTGCGGATCGCACTCCTTCAGCAGCTTGGTAAACTCATCGTCCAGACGTTCAATGGCAGCTAGCGGACAGCCGCGAATGAAATACGGCGCAGCTCCATATTCCTCGTGTTCCTCGGCCACGGTCTCGTTCATGTTGATGTCCGGATTGGCGAGCAGCAGTTTTAGCATGCTCTGCATCACCTCGAGCAGAAGGGCCCAGTGCTCCAGCTTCATGGGCTCGGATATCTTTTGATTGTAGTCGAAAATGGCAGAAATGATGTTAAAGTGAATCTTCACGCTAATGGGCGTTCCCAGTTCATGTTGCTCAGAGATGTCGCGCAGCTCGAAAAGCAAATCAATTTGCAGACGGCGGTCGGTACGCTTCTTGCCGCGTGCCGACATTATTTCTACCAGTTTGGCAAGCACAAGAGGAATGTCGATTTCAGCATCCTTTTCAAACATTTTGGGCTTCTCAACGACATTGCCCTTGACGACGGTCTCCCATTCGCCATCTTCATCGTCATCGGCGCGCTTGCGCACCTTGTGCTTCTGCTCCTTACGCTTGTCTTTGCGCTTGTCGTCATCCTTGTCCTCCTTCTCAGTGGTACGCTTAAGGAAACGCTCACGCATGTTCTGGTATAGATTCTCATCCTCAGAGGATTCGGTCTCCGACTCGGTGTCAGAGTCCCAATCGATCGAATCATCAGAATCATCCTCGTCAGCAGCCACTTTAGCAGGCACCAATTTCGCTACTTTGGGCAACTCCGCCAGTTTGCCGGTTCCGGGGCCAACGCCATCATCGCTGTCAGCGCCTGCTCGATCGGCGTCGCTATCGTGTGCTTCCCCTTCGCCTTCATCGACGTCACTTTCCTGGTCGGGTGCTTCTCGGAAACGCGCCAGGTCCTCTTCAAAATCTTTGATATACTTTCGCACTTTTTGGCGCAACGTGCCCAGCGACTTTGAGTTGTTTTTCGAGAGGTTTCTGCGACCCTCTCGATCTTCCCACACCTCATTGATGAAATCTTCAAGCTCGGCAAGGCAGCGAATGTAAAAGCGCGGTGTAATGCCGTTCTCTTCCTTCGAGATGACGGGCAGCGCCTTCGTGTAAGCTCGCGTCAAATCCTCAAAGCTGCTCAGCGTATTCGGTATGTCCTTAATCTTCTTATGGTTGCGTATCGTTTTAATGATGCCTGTTAAATTCTCATAGCGCTTTTCCTTGGTGGAGCGGACCACACGCTTAACTTCCTCTTCGTCATCGCTGAATTGCTGCTCAAAATAAGGTATTTTATAATTAATTGCGGCTGTGGCAGGCGCCAATGAGATTTTTAACTTACAAAGTTATTCGCTTTGTTGAAGTTTGACGCTTGAACCTCTTCTTCGCTGGATTCGGATTCCGAGTCGGAGCCGTTGGCAAAGAAACGTGACATGGTATTTAGTTCTGCTTATGCCGTTTTCTGCAAAATAAATAAAATACAAATTACATACAATTTTAACTGCTTGACTTGTGTGTCACAGAGCGGTTGAGGTTATGTGCAAGCGGCCAACATGGCGTTTGCCAAATATTGACAACCAATTTTTGCCACAATTACGAAGTTATCCTTGTGAGCGCGTGTTGCAATACATGTCGGCTCTGTTGGTCTTCCATCCCCAACATGTTTAGTGCCGCTCTAGTCGCGGCATTTCACAAAAACTTACAATTATTACAGCAAAACGATGTCATTCACAAGACATCAAAGAAAAGAGGAATAATACAAGTTTTCGGTTATCGATATGTGAAATGTATGAATCGATGTTTTGACGATGTTTTTGATATTTTTTAACACTGTCATTTATGACAATGTATTTCAACATTCAACTTACAAATCTCTTTGACTGTTTCTATTTCGTTTTCCTGATAAATATTACTAAAATAATTAAAACTTGACTTTATTGAATTGAAATATTCGTAAAAAAAATGGTAACGTTTTTTTTTTGTAGATTGTTTATAAATACATTTCGGAAATTTTGGGATATAAACATCAAGCGATTTGCTTCAAATATAATATTTGAACAAAGCAGTGCCACTTGAGTTTAACAGTGCCAATGTGAGGGTGTCTGTTACAGGTTTAAATAGACAAAATCAAATAAAGTGTTATACTTGAAATTGGAATTAGCTATTAACTTCCACATTTAAAAATAGAATAAAAAACAAGGAAAACAAAGTAATAAGCCAATTTAGCATACTACTAATGATATTGTTAGTTGAAATATGTAAAGTATAACTGCGCAGGCGCATCCAATAGCCGGCATTTGGCGCAAACACAGCCTTTCCTCGCCGCAACGCTCCCCCCGCTGACAATCCGAATGTGTGCGAATTCATATTGTCAGGCACAGCCAAAATGTTGTCGACGTTTGAGCGCGCCAACAAGTCGTCTGCGTTCGCTTGTCGTGGCCAGTTCACCAGCTGCCAATCGGCGGAAGCGGCAATCTTTAGCATAGCGCGAAATTCAAGCGTTGAGGTCCGTTTCCGGCTTTGGTGTCTGTGCGAAACGTAAAGTGATAAAAAGTCTATATATATAAACAAATTTAGCCAAGTGTTTAGCGTATTTTCCGTTCGGCATTCGAGTAATTACGGGCACGTGTGCTGAGATCCCATATCCCCAAAAACAAGGAAACTCTGAAACGCAAATGTAAGCACAATAAATAATAATTGAAAATTGATGCAAATGTGTTTATCTGCTGTGTCGCTCAAAGTGCTCAAATGAAAATCATAAACTGACCAGGTAAAATCCGATAAAATCCGTACAGCTTTTGACATCTGACAACTGACAGTGCACAGATCCGCGTAAATTGATAGACAATTTAATGCAGCTTGTTTGTAAATTAAAAATTAAAAAAAATACATTGCATGCATTTGTCACATCCTGTTTGGCCTTACACCATAAATTCGTTGCCTTTTGTCCGTAGTAAATCGTCCATGCAGGGAAAGCTTATACATCTGTATTTATATCCCAACTGAAAAAGTGGATTTCCCTTTTGCAATGCTTTTAGTTTTCATTTGAATTTTTGGGCTATTAACTTAAATTGTTCTTCCGTTTATTTACGCGCTTCAGTTTAGCCTTTGGGAGTGAGGTCAGGTCAGGATGTGCGACAAATTGTAGTCGACCTTTTTGGGAACTGAAATAAAATATTACGCATTCAATGCATTTCTATTGTATGTGACTAGATATTTGCACCTCGATCTTAATACCGTATCTTTCTAATAATAACAATTAAATTTGTATAAAATACTCATGATCAGTAGAAAGTTTATTCATTCTATATATTTTGAAGCATACAAAATAAAGTATTCTGAATATGTATCTTAGAAATAAAACACTTAGCTTCGCAGATGTTAAAGCGGTTTTATAAGATTGTACAATTGAAAGGGTTTAAAATATATCTCATAAGAAGACATCCAATAAAGTTTTGATTTAATATATGTGCGAAGTATGGAACATTTGAAAAAATTAGTTCAATAATTGTTTGCATGATTAGGAAATATGATTTTATCAAAAAGCTATTTCTTAAATACATACATATTGCAATTTAAAGCAAAAGCTGTTTGCCATTGGTTTTTGTTGTTCAATTTCAATGGAATCGTTAATCTCAAGCTCAATAAATGTTTAAGTCGAGTAAAAGTCTCCAAGGACAAGCTTTGGTCTATGGAATTGCGACACGCCCATTCCGTGGCTCTCCGACAATTTATGAGTAGCGCACAAAACCAAAATCAAGCCACCGTGGAGCTGTGCGAAGATCCCCACTATAATAAAAAATGCCAGCAAAACAACAACAAAAAACAAGTAAGAGGTTCTAGTCGGGAGCTCCCGACTAGGGGATACCCTGAACCCTCTTCTCCCGACATTCTATAGGTATAAAATGAAAGATACTTGATATATATATATACTATTCTAGAAGCTACATGTCAAGTTTGGTGACTCTAGCTCATATTATTTGCAGAAATTGCTCAAAAAACAGGATTTCGATATCGATTTTTATCGATTACTTGGAAACGGGTCAAGTTATCGATTATAGGAAACAAACTCGATCTGCGCGGGGACTGAGAGGACCTACAGCCTACATTTCAAGTCTCTAGCTCTTATAGGTTCTGAGATCCTTGCGTTCATACCTACGGACAGACGGACGGACAGACGGACATGGCTAGATCGACTCGGCTATTGATGCTGATCAAGAAGGGGTCGGAGATGCTTCCTTCTGCCTGTTACATACATTTGCACAAACACAATATACCCTGATTACCCATTTTCAATGGGTTCAGGGTATAAAAAGGGCGAAGTAGAACTTAAAAATGCAAGGAAATAGAATAGAATATGCAAGGCGAGTGGAGGTCGGAGGTCAGTGCGGCTCGGGCTGGGGCTGCACTTGGCACTCGGCAAAGTGCAACTGTAGCTGCAGGAGAAGCGCGTGCCATTTATTAGTCTTTGGCAGCAGAAGCTGGCAGCACGCAGCGCGTGGATAAAAACGTGCCCTGGCCGAAACTATTAACGGAAGCCCCCAAGTGCCAGGGAGTTAGAGGCAAGCGACAGTTAATGGAAATGTTTATGGCGTCTGCGTAATTGTTGGTTCATGTGCATGCTGTATGCCAGAGGCCATTCGAATGCCATAACCGGGTCTGGACCTGATGGATGTCGGCCAGTGTTCCTCCATCTAAATATAAATCAGACGAGCGCCTCTGGGGCAGAGTTAGCTTGAATAGAAAATTTGTTTATAATTTGCCGACGCGACAGCGCTAAACAGATAGCGACCAGCACAAATAAACAATGTAGCGAAATCGTAAAAATTGCTCACCTGAATCACACGGCTATCTATTGGACGTGCTCGTGTCGAAGCCGTCGCATCTTATATTTTTCGGGCACATATTTTTAACATTTACACTTGGGTCTAGTTCAGCGAAAATCATTTAATATTTCAGTCTAGACGCTGAAGAGATACAGTTCAAATTAATAAAAAGCAAGAGGTTCTAGTCGGGAGCTCCCGACGAGGGGATACCCTGAATCCTCTTCTTCCGACAGGCGATAGGTATAAAATGAAAAATAACTGATATGTATATACCATTCTAGAAGCTACATGTCAAGTTTGGTGACTCTAGCTTATATTATTTGCCGAAATTGATAAAAAACAGGATTTCGATATCGATTTTTATCGATTACTTGGAAACGGGGAAAGTTATCGAATATCGGAAACAAACTCGATCTGCGCGGGCACTAGGAGGACCTACAGCTAAAATTTCAAGTCTCTAGCTCTTATAGGCTCTGAGATCCTTGCGTTCATACATACGGACGGACGGACAGACGAAGAGACAGACAGACGGACAGACAAACGGACATGGCTAGATCAACTTGGCTGTTGATGCTGATCAAGAATATATACACTTTATGGGGTCGGAGATGCTTCCATTGTACCCTTTTTACCCATTTTTAATGGGTTCAGGGTATAAAAACTAGCGGGCATTACCCGGCTTTGCCAGGGCCAAGTAGTATTTTCTGCAATATGAGACATTTATCGACCGTTGAAAAGGGAAATCTTCTGGTCTTAGATTTTCCAAAATCCAAGTATTAATTACAATTAAGCTAAGACCAGCGCTTGTTAACGGTAAACAGTAATTACAATCGACAAGGAATCGGAGTGAAACTTTAATTAGAACCAAGCATAAAATGAGTGAGTGTGTGTAAACATGTATGCAAATAAGTGCTAGTTCAAGTTGAGATTAGCAAGTTGATTACTTGATTAATTAGGCAGTCAAATGTTTTGATATTCCTCTACTTTATTTCCATGCTGCCACGTGTCCATTTCGCCTGGCAGCCTTGACTGTTATGGCCAAACTTTGTTAGCTCATTAACCCACCCGCTTGCTGTGGATATTATGGTATATCTTTCAATATGCTCCGAATTCTGTTTAACTTCCTTCATGTCGGTTGTCTTTTTGTAGTTGCAGATGCCCCCCAGACTATCTATCCCCAGCTCCAATTGCTACTGCTCTAATTTCGCAGCTAATGCTAACGAATGGCTGTCATTTAATTTCTATGAGCCATAAATTTTTATAATGCACATTCATTAGGTTTCCATCCGCGTGTCCGCATGTGTTTTATCCGCTGCATAAAACTGTGATGTAAGCAGCGCACAGTTGCTGCTAAAAGTTTAGCAACAGGAAAATGCAGCTAATTAGCTGACAAATTAGAAAGCTAGATACAATCAAGGGAACATTCCGTACAGCCAAGAAATAAACTGAACATTTAATATGATCTTGGTTGTTTTGGTATATATATTCAATATATATATATATTCAATAACGGGAATGAAGTAGAGATCCTTCAGGAGTTTATTCAACAAGAATTCAAAGAATCTAATTTAGCCTTATTAAATAGCATCAAGGTTTAACCCCAGATAAAAACATACGTTCAGATCGGTCGGATCGGAGATTTGAAAAAATTAATTTAAGAAATTTGTTTATATAAATGTTTATTGTATTGGATCAAAAATAGCATACATTTTTATTACAACACATTTTGGCTTAGGTTAATTAATAAATCTACATAATTACATTGGAAGTAACTTTTTAGAAAGCTTTTCTAATGAAATTCAAACTTATAGCTTTTCAGTAGCTCATGAGTTGCTTCTTATTTGAATAACTTGAACTTGGGTCTTTAATAAATAGTTGGTACTTAAACTTATCAATACATTTATCCAATCCTAACGGCTGGGTATTAAAAGAGCCGAAGCCACAACAAAAACAAAATTTCAACTCGAAGTGAAAAACAAGCATCGGCAAAAGTTTTCGACGAGCATTTATAGCACTCGTGCAAATCATTGGAATCGAGTGCCATTATTTCATACCCTGTACACAGTCGAAAATGGCCAAGAACAGGCTATAAAGGTTTTGTGCGTTCGTATGTAACGGTTATAGCTCCTTGATCAGGAGGAGGACTAAAGGAGTTCTAGTCATGTCCCACCGGTCTGTTTGTCTGTCTGTCTGTCTGTACGAACGAGCTAATCTTGAAAACTATTAGAGCTAGAGAATTAAAAATTTGAATAACATATTCTCATATTTTCGATATATATTTCGATTTATTATAAGAGCGAGAAACGTTAAAAGAAAGTCAAATTTAAATGTATAAAAAAACAATTGATTTTATTAAGACTCAAAGTTATTTTCGAACTCAACTTTCCATTGTGTGGAAGTAATTACAGGGTATCCTAGTCGGACACGCTCGCCTGTAGCACTCTTATATGTTAGCTTTCTTCTTATTTTTTTCTTTGCTTTGTGTTTTTTTTGTTTGCTAGTTTTTTATAATTAAGACTCGATGTTATTTTCGAACTCAACTTTCGATTGTTTGGGTTAATACAGGGTATCCTAGACGGACACTCTCGCCTGTAGCACTCTTATATGTTAGCTTTCTTCTTCTTTTTTTTTCTTTTTGTGCTTTTTCTTTGTGTTTTTTTTTGTTTGCTAGTTTTTCGTGCGGCTTTGTGTAGTATTTAAGGCTTTGTGCACACGCGTCGTATGCTTAATATTAAACAGAGCCCTGACGAGCACATCGCCTAAGCGTTTTGTTTGCTCACGACTCCACACTCGCCACTTGCCACTTGCCACACACAACTTGCCACACACAACTTGCCACACCCCACTCGCCACTTGCCACACAACTGTGAGCTGCAGTCTGACATTTGCTTGACTTTATTTTGGTTTTGTTTACCGGCTGGCTGCTGAAAGTGACGATGGAGCA